ACGATGCTGGTAATAAATTCCTGTGCTTTACATAGCGTCGTCATGCAGCTAAGTTGGACGATATTGCTATTAGCATTACACGTTTTACTGTCCTGCTAGACACTAGACCTGTGTCCGACCGAAGCAAACAAAATTTTACGAATTGCGACTATTAGAAAAAGTCGATGATCTCCCCACGAGTACTTTGCTCCCGAAATAGCTACAATTTGGCACAGTTATCGAATCGCTCGATGATATGTCCTTTGAGAAAGCACGCTTAGCACATGGCACGTTCTCTTTTTCAGGATAATAAAAATCAGTCGTAAATATCGAATTGCGTGTGGTCGGATTACCACGTTCGTCCCGCAATCCTCTTTTACGTCGTCGATTCTTCTCAAAAGCTACGCTTCGCTTAAAACCAGCATATTGTGTCGCGTATTCGTAAATCAATCAACATTTCCGACTAATCGCTGTTTAATTTATAATTCGGCTGTGTAATTTTCTCAACGACAGTGGATACGATACGACGACACAAGCATTCGGTTGTCCGAGAAGTTTCTTTCGTTTTATAAGGAAATAATAGGCATACGATGTTTTTTCTTTTATATTAGTTTAGCGAATTATTCAGGGACGTAATAATAGAAATAGAACGAAAAGGATCATATCTAATTTAATAAAATAATATAAAATAAAAATCGTTGTTCGTCTATTTATTATGAAACGAAAGAAACTTTCCGGACAACCTAATACAACAAGTTACATTGTACACGAATTTGGATACGAACCAAACGATGTTACACATATTTCAGATATTTCAAAAAGCGTTCTGTTTTTGTTTTACACGGAGCAATTGCCAGAAGGTGGAATAAAATGATATTTTCATTGGGTTGGATAGCAGTGCTGTTACCACTTGAACATGTCCCGTTTTCTTCTTTAATTTTCTATTATTCAGATAAATATAAAGAAGTTGCTGTTAACGTGGAAACTTTCCCGTTTCGATTTTACAGTGGTTCGTTTTCCTTCTCAAAATTGCGAAACTTTTTAAACGCAGGAAAGTTAAAGTGTCTCAAAGCAAGAGATGAATTTGTAATGAGAGGAAGGAATAGGGACAAAGGGGAAGACAGAACGAGACGGAAAAAGAAGAACGACAGAGAGGGACAAAAGTAGAAACGTGGGGAAATAAAACGGCGAAAGGAAAGGGGAAGAGGAAGCAGAAATGAGAAAGACACGGAAACGAAAAAGAAAAGGGAAGGGACGAGAGAAAAGGAAGAAAATAAAATGGAAAAGCGATTGGTCCAGGTTACTATATCTATTGTTAAACCTTTCTAACTGAGACCTACGTATCGCTTGTTAAATATCGAATTTAATTGTTCGAAATCTAAGATCAGGTAATCTGTTAAAATCGTCCCACGGAAAGTATTTGCATAAAAAAAATCGTTAAACAAAGGATATTCCACTACTGTACTTCTGTAATCTGTAATCCTAACGAAAAACGAGATTAACCCCAGAAATTGCTAGCAACTTGTTAAAACTTTTGCCTTCAATTATTACCCGCTTTGAAACTTATGCGATGATGGATAAAGATTATCAGATCTTAAGACAAAAACAAAGGACTCATACGTTCAGCTTTATGGTAAAAATCTCGCCTTTTAAATGTACCATTAATATTCTCAGAATTGGACCCAGTAAAAATATTATCGTCCTTCACTCTTTCTCAGTTTTTCTACATTTCTAAGTAAACCTTGTTTCCTGCAGAACGAAAATAAAACATGTTGACATCTAAAACATATCTACCAGCGTTTTTTGTTCGTCTCACGAACCAATTTGTATCGAAACTCGCGCGCGATGTAACTTGAGACTCGTGAGATATCCCATCCGCTGTTTTAAGCAATCTACGCAGCTATTTATAAATTAGACGGCGATTCATCTGAAAATTTCAGCCATCTATCGTTCAGAACGAATGGTTCACGAATATGTATCAGAATATGCCAAAAGTTTCTTTCGTCTCGTAAGGAAATAATCGACAATGACTGATGACGAAAACCACAACGTTTGACAGATTAGGTCTCACGTTTGCTCAAACATTGCGTTGGATAAAGCAGCTGCGTGCAGATGGCGAAAGACACTTTTGGAACAAGCTGGTAACAGTAACCCAGTAACAAGAACAACGTTACAAATTGGCAAACAAATGGCGGCTATTTCATCGAAAGGGGAGCCCATCAAGGAAAAACGAAGTGAAGAAGAACAGCCATTGCCGCGTGCGATAATCATCCGGATAAAATTGTCTCGGACGAACAGCAATTCAGCTTACCTACGTGTGTAACATGGAACTTGGGACAATGCTTACATACGCGGCGATATTTGGCCAGGATGAAATTGGAAAAGTTGAGATGCGATTAACATCGCTCGGAAGACGAGACATAGCGTTGATGAACACGGCCCGGTTCATATCGATTCCCCCAAAATTTCTACGCAGACTATTTATCCGGTTGGCCTTAATCCGGCGTTTGACTCGGCGATGGAGTTCGTCCAAGCACATCCTTCGTCTACGGGGGGTTTCGCGATTGCCGCGACGGCTGAATTTCGAAAACAAAAAGGGCTGGCGAATGTTGTAAGCGGATTGGCCGAAATCCGTCCGCTCAAAGGGGGAAAATTGGAATTGGACATTTTTTACGACAGAATGAAATCGGTCGTACGAGGATGAAAGTTTCTGATAAGCTGCGCGGTAGGACGCTGTTATTTTAAATAATCCTTTCACGGCAACCATGAAATTGGCTGTGCGCGGATTACATCCTCAGAAGCCTGTTACCTTGGTCCTTTCACCGTTACATCATCGATGTAACGCTCCGCTAGCCCAGCTTTGAATCTGCTTTTGAAAAAGCGAATGCGATCGTATATGTACACCGTAAAAGGATACGGTGTATACAATTTTTGATAAGCTTAACACTTGGCCTGCTTTATAGCCAGCTATTGTAGCCTTCGTCTTTGTGGCGTACTTCGATCTCTGTACCATAGCTTGCGGTATTATATGTATAAGCCAGATACTTTTGTAATGGCCGCGTTATAAAAAGAATCTTCCGATTATACGAGCGCTCGGGAGTCGATCGTCCAAGGTGTAGGCGATAAAACGTGAAAACCTCTCTCGAGCACCCGTGACAGGGTTCGTGGCGGCCCGAGCACCGATAATTTAGACATTCGCCGACATGGAACCGTTGATGATCGGTTTCAGTCAGTCGCCGGGCAAATGTCAAAAGGTCCAAATCCGAGACTTCTGTCGGCTTCGTCGCATTAACACTGGAACTAGCACACCAGTACAAATGACTGGTTTCACAATTTCATAAATCCGCCAATCGTTTAAGGATCATTAACAATAGGAAAAATGTACTACATAAGGTGGGATTGCTTTCGTTAGAAAATGATAAATCAATGAATATACAAATATTTTGCTATTACGTATTTTTTAGAAGCCAGTCATTTTGTCAGCTATGCCTTAGTTGTAGCGTTAAATGGCTAAGTAAATGAACGAACGTGACTGGTATTTCTGAAACCATCGAGTCTCTGCCTACAAATTCACAAGTGGCATAATCGAAAATTCTGGCGGATCGCGCGACTGCCGTTTACGTGCCATCGATTGCCATCTGCGGATCCTGCTTCCAGAGAGTTTGTGCGTGTTTGAAGACCTGCCTACTCGCAGCAGCGATTACTTAGCTGAATATCGATGATCTTTCTGACAAACTCATGAGAATCTTTTAATCCTGCCCATAATCTTGTTCATAGATTGGGCAATTAATAACTGACGCGTCTCTGTAATACCAGAAATGATACAAAGATAACAACAGGAACATCTTTATCGACAGTAATGCCACACAATTAACGAGGTACGACATTAACAGGATTATCAAAGATCAAAGCGATAACGGGTCGCAAGAAAAGTATTTTAAATCTCAAGGAAAGAAACGAACGATTAATTAGCGAAATCGCGAAACAAGTTAGGGCGTCGTAACAGTTTATTTTGCCGATCAAACGATCCTGCTTGGAAGTGCACGGCTTATCTTATCGCGCGCACTAGGCGCGACATATCAGACAGCTATAGGACGATAAGACGAAGGAACGAAAACTGTTGGGGGTGAAAAAGGATTCGACAAAATCGCATTGTAAGCTCTTTGAAGATATCCCTCTTTCTAACTCAAGATGCGAAGCGTGGAAGATCGTGGGATAATCTTTTTTCATGAGATCGTATATCTTTGTAGGGTAACAGCTATAGCGTGATACAAAATACGGTGGTGGCATTGACACGAGAAATTCCGTGGACTCGCGCAAGGAAATCCATCTTAGAATTCTATGGCAAGGAAAGTTGCCATGCTTGGAATATTTCGTCTGTGTGATTCTCGTTAGGCCGATGTCAACAGATAGGAAACGTATTGTTATAACAAGGTTTTATATAACATCCATTAAAGATAAAATGTTCATAGAATTATATTCCATTCTTTGGTGAATATAAGAACATTACATCTATGTTTCATGCTATTGTTTTTAGTTGGTGGAAAATACCCGACTCTAAGAATACTTATGTGAAAACACAAAGAATATCAGATATATAGGGAACAATGTTTTCTTTGTTTCTACAATTTTTTAAACAATGCTTCTGTGTTTATATATTTTTGCATTTCTGTATATTGCATTGTAATTGTATTTTTTAATACTATGTAAATGATCCTATACATGTAGAATACGTACAGAATTCTCTTGTTAATTAATGCCGAGTAATCAGGATAACGAAGCTGATAATGAGACGTATATCTCTCGGAAAATTCTTCAAATTACGAACTAACGAACGAACACGGTTTCCTTAGTCACAATTTTCTCGTATATTTTCCAAAAAATTACTGAAAGTATCAAGAATTCCTTAATATTTTGCATACGTCTCTTAATACAAACAAATTAATTCTAAGGTTCGATAAAAAGAACCTATTTTCGATTCATCTTTAGGTATTAACGTACGCCTGTGTTTGGTGTTTCAGTGTGGTGGATTTCCGTGCGTCGAGAATATCAAGCGCAAATCGCCAAGGGTAAGTGCAACGACGAGTCTTCTGAAACGCAGAACGCGATTTGCCGTCTTATTTCACGTCGTTCGTAATATATTCGCTTGGCAACTAAGTGAATCAATACCACCCAATGACAAAACCCGCAATCGCTTAGTTGCCAACCCAAGATAAGCAAGTCGAATACGGTGGCGTGTGTACGTGGAAGTTCGTGTGGGGATCAGATTTCAGAGGTCGTACGTAGACTAACGAGCGCGATAGGTTCCGTTTGCCTCGCGATTCGCGCCAGGCCGAAGAAAGAAGCTTCGCAACATGAATTTGTGGGTATTCAGACGTCTTTCTTATGTAATCAAATTACTGGAATCCAATTAATAGAGTGTCGATAACGCGGCGACGTGCACGAAGCTCAGACAGACTCGAGTGAGTTCGTTCGCCGGCACAGACACACGTACATACGTGAACCAACATAAACGAACACGTAGATGCACGGACACACAGGGCCACGCGATCGTAATTAACCGCACATTCGATGCATGTATGCAGAAACCACGCGTTGTTTGCGAATAGCAATTCCGAGCGTACGGGATTGAATGTAACATGGGGCGCACACAACGTGGCCAATGCGAACAGTATCGTCCTGTGTGTTCGTCTTACGGGCCTATTACTGAACTTGGCCCGGGTTGCCCATAGGATTGTTCAATGAGTGATTATGCGGCCGAAAATGAGCAAGATTTGCGGAACACCGGCAAATGATAGCTTACCCATGACGCTGCAACGTGTTATACAGCATGCAAATTACCTTACGCCTATGTTACACGGCAATTGGACGTCGCAGCGTTACGCGAAATATCATGCGCCATCTTACGTGATATTATCGTTAGCCCGATGAAAATCTTAATTTCCGATAATTCTCTGATTAAGCGGAACGTGCGTTCGCTACTCTGCTTTTTTGATTTTTCTTATTTATCGGTTTACAGTCAAAGCAATATCGAGCGTTATCAGCGACTATTGGCCGAATTAACTAAACGTTCTGGGTAAGCGTTTACGATCGCTAGAGCCAGAAGGGATGATTCGGCTTAGTCGTAAATCATCGAGAATTCCAATAATATTGCAGCAGGCTACCAACGTATTAGGTTGTCCGGGAAGTTTCTTTCGTTTTATAAGGAAATAGTACACGTACAATGTTTTTGGTTTTGTATTAGTTTATTGAATTACGCAGGGGCGTAATAATAGAAATAGAACGAAATGGATCATATCTAATTTAATAGAATAATATACAACAGAAGTTGTTCGTCTATTAGCACCTTATGAAACGAAAGAAACTTTCCGGACGACCTAATACCTTGTTATGGCGTCGAGATTGTAGCTGTTTCTTTTTCTTCTTGCTTCGTTATACTTCTTACATTCCAGCGTCGTTTCGTTGATAGTTATTGGTATATTACACGGCGTAGGTTATTGTTTAGGAGAAGATGTGAACGTGTTAGTTTGCTGTGTTCTGGTCTGATTCGGGTTATCGTTCCTTGTCGTATCATAGTTCGATATTTGTAACTTTATCTGTTACTAACGATTTTAGTTAAACGAGAGGCGATCTAACGATATTAGAGTCTTTTTTAACGACGTAACGACAACGTTAGTCAATCGACGTAACGTTAGCAGCTTCCTTCGTTAATTCATTAACGAAATTACCGGTTAATTCTGGCTCAACGAGAGGGAACATTTCCCTAATAATACGAATAGCAGCACTGTAATTGGAAATTATCATAGTGACACAAATAGTAAATAGAATGGAATTAGTTAATGGGTAACGATACATGGTAATTAAATGCACAGAAAATTTGCTTCATAGAAGATAATTAATACCGGAAACAACGCTACTAGATATTAAACTACAATTCCAATTCTGTCGTGTTCTGTCGTGAAATGAAGCAGGTTATAGATTTACTGTACAAAAATAATTAACCAAATTAACACTGACTGCCACGACGAAATCACATGTTTCACTCAGGACGACACGGGAGTATTTGTTTATTCAAAGCGTATAATGACAAAATAATAATAAATTGATGATGTAAGACAACATTCTTCCCCAATGGACCATTTGATCCAGGAAATATTCATATGAAAGTAATAATATTCTAATGAATATGTTTTAATATTTATTTTAAATAATTGATAAAAGTCGAAACAATATATGTTTTTAACAATTACTGGAACTTAATCTGTAATTCCACAATCGTTGGATATCTTTTGCTTAAAAAATTGGAAACTAATGTCACAATTTACTCACCAAACGTATTAACATTTTGACTGCCACGTCGAAATCACATGTTTCACTCAGGACGACACGGGAGTATTTGTTTATTCAAAGCGTATAATGACAAAATAATAATAAATTGATGATGTAAGACAACATTCTTCCCCAGTGGACCGTTTATCTTATTGTTGGTCACGGGTGACCACCGTGGCGCCTTGGTAACAGTTGATAGCGACATGTTGTAACAAGGCTTCGTATGTTTCAACAAACCATTCGCATTCGTCGTTTCGTCGTAAGCAAAACGTGCAGAATATATTGTTGAAACGCGTAGAGGATATTAGTAAACAGTATTAGGATTATTTTTATGATTTCGGCGAAATATTCGGCTGAAATGATAGAGGCGCGGAAAAAGAATTATGTTCGTGATAAAACAATGGTAGTGGTAGATTACAACAGAGGAAAATGTGCTGTAGATTTATCAGATCAAATGATAGCATATTCTACAGCACATAGAAAGACTCTCGAGTGGTATACAAAATTAGCTTTAGAGTTATCGTTAAATACATCAATTTCAAACGCGATGATACTCTATAAACAAGCGACAAAAATAAGAATCAAGATACCAGATTTTAGAATGGTACTCGCCATGCACCTTACACGGTGCCATTCACCAGAACCGTCAAATGTACTTATTCGATAAAGATTGCCACACGAAATGCAGAAGAAAGAAGGACAAGCGTAGCTGGCGCGAAAATTTTGCAGAGATGTTATAAAAAAAATGTTAAACAGTTAGGATCAAAACTTGCCAAGAATCGGACCAAAAGGTAACCACCTATTGTCCGGATTATATTGACGAGCCACATTTATGTTTAGAGTGTTTCAACACAGTGCACCGTTAGATGCAACATTTGTTCTCATTTTTTTTTACTGTTGTTCTAATAAAAATGTTTAATTGCACGGAACCAGACAATGACACCAGTGACTTTCGCTTGTTCCAAAAGGTACCGAAACGAGCGTGAAACAAATTCGTTGGCAAAATAGAAAAATACAGGAAATCGATGTATAACTAGGCAGCTGTAAAAAGTATGTTATACATCGAAATTGTAGAAATATCGGGAGCAGAGAGGAAAATCGTGTAGTAAAGTACAGGCAGCAATGTATAAGACGAAGTAAAGTCGAAAATGGCGTGTGGCAGGGGAAAATCTGAAAACAATGCGCCCCATCTACCTATGTATGTGCATACAGTGCATAGGTACAACTGCATTGCGTCAGATGCATCGTACGCTAGTCCGGAATAACGATACGTCGCTTCGTCGCCTAGCACGCCGTTGTGACTTGCCTCGGAACAATAATATTACACGTCCTCTCGTCTATTTTCTAGCTGACACCAAACTGCTGCCACTTGCTGCGTGGAATTATTCCAAGTACTCCTTCCTTCTATCTAAATTTCGGGATCGCTGAGAAAATTGAATCCTCCATGTACCAGACGAGCTTTCTACGTTTCTCTAGTGCGATCCATGTTATTTCTATCTGTTTGACGAATTGACAGAGCACCAATTGTTCTGATCTCTAATTCCACCCTATTCGTACTCGCCAACTGACATTTTGCTTGACACAATTCAACACTTTGATTGCCACGCCGAAATCACGTGTTTCGCTCAGGACGTCACGGTGTTTTAACATAGAGCACAGTTAGATGCAACAATTGTTCTCATTTCTTTTCTATTGATGTTTTAATAAAAATGTTTAATCGTTCTATGGGGCATTTTTTATTTCAAAGTATTTTCTATTTATCGGTTATATTCATAACTGTCAATTTTCATACAATTTTTATAATTGTAAGAAGTTGAAGCGCTCCGGTCACCAATGACCACTGTGGCGCCACAGGAGAAACCATAATCGATCATATTTGATACCCGTGACAGTCAAAGTGTCAAAGGCCGCAAATAAAAAGAGAATAAGTCACGTAACACGATTTTTCTAGAAGAGTTAAAATCGAGTATGTTGATCTAACTCCATAGTTTTCAACAACTATCTTCCCATTTGATTTTCGCGACCAGCTTTCTGTTTCTGTTATCCTTCGGAACAGTTAAAAGATACTGACAATGTTAATTATACTCGCTAAGATTGATCCGAATTAAGTTAAAATTAATATTACTCGCTTCTTAACAAACACAGTGGATTTAGCACTTATTCTCAAGAAACTTGTACCTTAAAATCTAACTCATTTCGTTTTGCAAATATTTCCTATTAAAATTCTACTTTTCAATCAGCAAGTTAGGTAAACGTCAAGAAATGAACCTAAACGAACCTGTCGTATCTTTGCTATGTGGTTTCCGTATAAAAATTCGTCCAACCATAGTTGTGAGACAGTTGCGTTAATTGTAGTTTGGTCAAGAAAGATCTCTACTTTGTAAAGAGAACTTGTAATTTGTAATATTCTGAACGTATGGACGCCGTGTTCTGACGTCCCGAGACTACTGCAGCTAGCTTTAACAGGAATGTAATGATGTATCGATGATACACTGAATAGAACTGTACACTATCGGTGCGTCATGAAACTCTCAATAGTGCTACGTAATTGGTACAGCAGCAAATTGATTGAATACCGTTCCGGACCACCGTAACCTACATCTGAAAGTTACAAACTAAGATACTTTCCGGATAACGATATGGAACTGAAAAATATTTACGAATTCCAATCCCCAGAGCTGTGCAACTTTGTTTTCATCGGTCGAGCTGGTCTGATCGTGGAATTTTTATTTCTAGCCAT